TGCAAAGTGAGGGGGTCGACCCAAGATTCTTCAGTCTGGACTATCGGGGCTGGGACTTCTGGGTCTCTGGGGAGGGGTATTTATTGATCAGGGTGTGGGTTTTAGGGGCAGAGGGGAAAGGGCCCTGCTTTCTCCCTGTTCTTATTTAACCTCCATTTGTACTGTGTGATTAGGGTATAATAAAGAACTTTATTTATTTTCTCTGAGCCTCCCACCTTTTTTGAGAACGGAAGGGGCTGTACAGCTGAGAATTGAAGACTCCTGGCTCAGTCCGGGGTGCTAGCCATTTGAACCTGGACAAGGCACCCTCCTTCCTCAGAACCTCAGTTCTTTCTTCGGAGAACAGGGATTATTAATCCCACGGGTCAGGGCTGTTGTGAGGGTGAAATCACTCAGCTCACTCGCAGATACTTACGGAGCACCAACTACCTGCTGGACAGTGCCAGGCTCTGTGGATGGGGCTTTCTTCCTGTTCCATCCACTCAGAGGCCTGACTCATCCCTTTTCTCCTCAAACGCCCCTCCTCCCCCACAGCCTCACTCTGAGCTGGCTTTCTCCCTCACGGAGAAAATAGAGCTTACAAGAAGGATCCCCCTCTCCACGTCTTCCCGTCTTCCCGCTCACTTGCACCTGTGCCTGAACAGCAGGGAGGATGCAGTTCTGTTGACTGAGATAGGGAGACTTGGAGGAGCAGGTTTTGTGGGAATTAGTGGGATTAGTGGGAAGGGGAGGAGAGATGAGGAGTCGGGGCTGAGATGCCTGTTAGATTTCCAAGTGGAAATGTCTTGGAGGCAGTTGGATATACAAGTCTGGAATTTAGGGGTGAGGTCTGGTCTGATAAGTTTGGGAGTCTCATCTCCATGTCTGGAGCATGAATGAGGCATTCATAACGCTGGATGAGCCATAACACTGGGTGCGTAGGGTCAAGGAGTATAGATGGATAAGAGCAGAGCTTTCTCCAATGTCAAATAGCCACATGAAGAGGATTTATGAAAGAAAACTGAGGATGGAGGAAAGCAGCGTAGCCTTCATCCTATTGCTGAGGGTGAGCTGCCTGCGCTCTGAGCCAACGCCAGCCTCTTCCACTTGGGCACTAGACCCCACGCCCTCTCGTCTACTCAAAGATCTCACTTCAGCAGTTCTTCCCATCCTCACTTCTTCCCCGCTTCGAGGTCTTTCCCATCAGCATCCAAACATGCTGTTACTCTCCCATTTTTAAGACTCCCTTTCTTGACCTCAACTTCCCCTTGAGCTACTGTTTCGTTTCTCTCTCTGTTAACTCATTGAGAGTGTATTTGTCTCCAATTCCCCTCCCACGGAGTTCACCCATTTAAAGCACACAATTCAATGGTTTTCAGTAAGTTTGTAGATTTGTGCAGCCATAAGCACAATCTGATTTTGAAACATTTTCACCATCCCCAAAAAGGAAGCCCATACCCATTGGCAGTCACTCCTCAATCCTCACTTTGTGATTCCCCCAAGACCTAGGCGGCCACTCATCTGCACTCTGTCTCTATAGATTTACCTATTATGGATGGTTCATATAAATGAAATCAAGCAATGTGTGCTCTTTGGTGACTGACTTCTTTCATTTAGCATAATGTTTTCAAGGTTCATTCATGTCATTGCATGTATCATCGATTCATTCCTTTTTATTGTCAAGTAACATTCCATAGCATGGATAGATCACATCTTGTTCATCCATTTATCAGCTGATGGACATTTAGGATGTTTTCACTTTGGAGCTGTTATGAATGATGCTACTATGAACATTCATGTACCAGGTTTTTGTGTGGATGTAGGTTTTTAATTCTCTTAGGTATACACCTAGGAATGAAATTTCTGGGTCCTATGGTAATTTTATGTTTAATTTTATGAGGAACTGTCAGTTTTCCACCGGGTTGCACCATTTTACATTCCCCAGCAATGTACATGGGCTCCAATTTCTCTATACCCTTGATGCCTTTCTTATTACTTGACTTTTTGATTACAACTATCCTAGTGGGTGTGGAACGGTATCTCATTATGGTTTTGACTTGCATTTCCCTAATGACGAATGATGTTGACTTCCATTCTTAAATTCATGTCAATCAGATGGTTGTGCCCCCATGGAAACTGCTGTTGTCAAGTTCACCAATGATATCCACACTGTTAAAACCAGTGGCCAATTCTCAGGCCCCCTATTTCATGATTTGGCAGCACCTGAGACAGTCAATCACTCCTTGAAATGCCTTCTTCACTTGGCTTTCAGAATGCCACGGCTACGCTGCTTTCCTCCATCCTCAGTTTTCTTTCATAGATCCTCTTCATGTGGCTATTTGACATTGGAGAAAGCTCTGCTCTTATCCACCTACACTCCTTGACCCTACGCACTCAGTGTTATGGCTCATCCAGCGTTATGAATGCCTCATTCATGCTCCAGACATGGAGATGAGACTCCCAAACTTATCTTCAGACCAGACCTCACCCCTAAATTCCAGACTTGTATATCCAACTGCCTCCAAGACATTTCCACTTGGAGATCTAACAGGCATCTCAGCCCCGACTCCTCATCTCTCCTCCCCTTCCTTCCCGCTGATCCCCACAAAACCTGCTCCTCCAAGTCTCCCTATCTCAGTCAACAGAGCTGCATCCTCCCTGTTGTTCAGGCCAAAAATGCTAGAGCTGTACTGTCCACACAGTAGCCACTACCACAAGGAACGATTCATTCATTCTTTAATTCACAAAAGCACTTACCAAGTACCTACTGAATTCCATACACATTGCTGGGTTTGCAAGTATAGAAACAATGAAGAGCCAGCTCCTGGCTTCAAGGAGCTCTTCATCAAGCAAACACAAAGAGAGTGATCCACAGGTGAGAAAACCCAGACACATGCCTCTGTGACTTTTGCTATCATGGAGCAGGGGCTATTTAACTTTAAACTAACTAAAGCTACCCAAGATTATAAATTCAGTTCCTTAGTTGCACTGGGCACCTCTCACATCCTTCATCGCCACATGTGGCTGGTGCTGTCATCCTGCACGATGCAGATCTGGGACATCTCCATTAGGGGAGACGTTCTACTGCACAGTGCTGCTGCGGTTACCCTCGACTCCCTCTTTCTGTCACACCCAACATTCCAATCCATCAGCACACCCCACTAGTCCCAACGTCAGGACAGATCTAGAGCCACTGCTCCTCACCCCCCTACCTGCAACCTGTGTCTCTTGTCTGGGTTACTGCAGCACCTCACAGTGATACCAGCTTCCACGTTGCCCCAGTCTGTTGTCCACATAGCAGCCATGAAAATCAAATTGTGGCCTTCCTTCGCTCAAAAACCATCCATGACTCTCATCCCATAGACGAAAGTCTGCAGACTTTACAGTGGCCAACACCCTGCAAGACGTGGTCCCCGAGTTCTCTGACTTCACTGTGCACTCCCTTCCTAGGCCTCGCTCCAGCCACATGGGCCTCCTGGCTGTGCCTCCCACATGCCTGGCTCTCCTGCCTCAGGGCTTTTTGATTTTTTAAGTTTTTTTTGCCTGGAACATTCTTAACACAAATGTGCATATGGCTCACACTCTCACCCCCCTTTAAGTCTTTATTCAAATGTCGCCTTCTCGGTGAGGTCTTCTCCAAAGATCTCATTGCTGTCTCCTCTCCCCTGGTCCATTTTTCTGCTTTATCTTCTCCATCACATGTATTACCACGATTGATACACATTTTACTTCATTTTCTTGCTTACTGTCTGTGACATAAGAAGCTTATTTGGAGTCGGCCCCCAGTTCCGGACATAGAGCTCCTAAAACCCTTAGAATTTTCCGAGCGATATGGGTGACAATAGCATCTTAAACAGGGTTCCTAAGTCCCTTGGAATTTCCTTGGTGATAGGCATGTCTTTTGTGCTACTGAACATCACTCTTGGTGGGCTCTTGCATGGAGCCCAAGACTAGACTATGAGGAACTTCGCGCCTCGCCCCCTCAGGGAGGAGAGAGGGGCTGGAAACTGAGTTAATAATTATTAATAGTCAGGCCCGCATGAGGAAGCCTCCATAAAACTCCCTAAACTATGGGGTTCAGAGCACTCTTCCAGGCTGGTGAAGGTATCCACGTGCCAGCAGGGTGGTGCACCCTAACTCTATGGTGACAGAAACCCCTGCACATGGGACCTTTCCGGACCTCTCCCTATTTACCTCTTCATTTGGCTATTAATCTGTTTCCTTTATAATGTCTCTCATCATAAATCTGTAAATGTTAAGTAAATGTTTCCCTGAGTTATGTGAGCTATTCCAGCAAACGACTGAGCTAGGGGGGCACGGGTGCAGGTTGCGGGAACCCCCGACTTGCAGCTGGCATCTGAAGTCAAGGCCGTCTTGTGGGCCTGAGCCCTTAAAACCTGTGGAGTTTGACACTAACTCTGAGTGGTCGATTTCAGAAATGAATTAAATTATAGCACACTCAACCAGTGTCCAGAGACATGGACAATTGATCTGACACACTTTAACATATTACTGCCACTGCTGTGTGCAGAATGGGCTTCAGTAGGGCAAGGAGGCTGGTAGAGAGGCTGCTCCAGAGACCCAGACGTTTAGGAATTAAAAAGGCTGAAATCTGGAAATGGAAATGAATTGGAAATGGAGGAGAAATTAAATAGGTTTCTGGTTTGAACTGCTAGGTGGATGGTGGTGCTCTTTCTGGTAGGAGGAAAGTCTTGGAGAGAAAGAAGCTTCGAGGACAACGTCAGGGACTCTATTTGGGGACGTCTTCTGGAAGTGGAAATGTCAAGGAGACTGTCACAAGTCTGAAGAGGGGTCTGGGCTTCCACCTAACAAAACCTTGAACTGTGACAGCAATGCCTATTACTGTCATTGTGGGGGCGACATTCAGCTGGGCATGTCTGGGGTATGCTGCACCTCCTCCCACCTGAGTTAATAGGAACCACCTTCAAAGACGAAAGAATCCAAAGTTGAGATATTCTTTATTTTAGGGATGGAAATAGGATAAGGAGGAGATACCTTTGTTAGTTACCGCTGAAGTACCATCGAAAGAACATCCTGGGGAAACAAGGAGGCACGTGTGTTGGAGGAGGGGTTGGTGACCAGAAATCTAGGTCCTGGAAGCCTGGACACCTGAGTCCCAAAGGTGGATAGGGCTTGGACTCTTGGATATGAGGGAGGAGGGGCTGGGGGCCTGGACTCCTCGGTAGGAGGGAAAAGAGGGCTGGGGGCCCGGACTCCTGGATGTGAGAAAGAAGGGAGGTGGGAGCCAGACATCCAGGTCTGCAGAAGCGGGGAGCTGCATGGCGGGGCTCTGGAGTCCCAGGGACTCACCACACCAACAGGGTCGCAGACGCTGACGCGACAGCTGCAACAGCCGCGAGCAGGAACAAGTTGCTCAGCGTCAGAGCCTCGGGCCTGGCCAGCAGCTCGCCCAAGCTCGGCCTCCAGGGCTCGAGCATCTCCTCGTCCCGCGGCGCCCAGCGAAGCACTTCCCGGAACCTGAGCTGGAGCTCGGTCTCCCCGCGCGGGGGCGGGCCCGTCACTGCGGGGGCGCGCACGTCAGCCGGGCACGAGCTGCGTCCCCGCCCCCGCGCCGCGCCCCCGCCGCACCGTTCAGGAAGAAGTAGAGCCGCGCCAGGGGGCGCCGGTCGTGCTCGATCACGCAGGAGAAGGTCCCGCGGTGGGTGGGCTGCGCCGGCCGGATCCGCGCCAGGTAGCCGTGGGCCCGCGGCACCTCTCGGAAGTAGGACGAGTCCTGAGTCCGGAGCTGCGGGACGCCGGGGCTGACGCGGCGGGAGGAGCGAGCCCGCCCCAGCCCGGGTCCTGGGAGCTCTCGGCCCCCGCCGACCGGACGGTAACTTACAAGCCCCGCCCCGGCCACGCCTTCGTGGGCCCTGGCCCCACCCCTCAGCTTTATTCGCCCATCTTTCAGGCGTGGCCCCCCCAGCCCTCTGCTCGCTCTGCCGCCCTAAGCGCACCCCTACCCCTCACTCCTCAAACCGAGTCTGGTCCTGCATTCTGGTCCTCGACCTCTGCCCTGAATCCCGGGACCCTGACCTTGCAGGGTCTAGACCGGACTCCCGCCCCCTGCATCCCGACTCCCCGCCTTCTAGCGATGCAAAGCCCGCCCGACTAAACAATTCACGCCAGTCCCGCCCCGACTCACACCTCCTCCTGCGAACTTCCAGGAATAGGTGATCTCCTTCTCTGGCAGCTGGAAGTTCACGACGCAAGAAAACACAGCCTGGTCACCCCGAGTCACCGTCACGTCCTGAACTGCAGAGCGAGCTGGGTCACTCTCCCTCGGGCCCTCCCACGCCTGGCCTGGCCCCCAGGCCGCGCCCCTTCCTCACCTCTCGGGTCGGTCGGGTCCCGCACAGCCCCGAGGCCCCGCCCCTCACCTGGGCAGTCCAGCGGGAGGTCGCAGACCGTAGAGTAGCACCCGCCGCAGCGGAAACGCCGGGAGACCTCCTGGAGTCCTGAAGGGCGGGAGCTCGGGCTCTGGGCTCCACCTGCCTTCCCCAGGCCCGGCCCTCTGGCCACCTTGAGCCTCCCTGGGTTCCGTATCTGGTGGCACCTTACCCCGCCTTCCCCGCTTCCGCTGGCGGACTCTATTCTTCCTCTCTAGGGTTCCCATTGTTTTGCTTAGGTTAGGCTCTCAGACCCACCTGCTGTGAGGTTTCTCGAGGGCTCTTATTGGCCTCTTTCATATTTGAAGCCCACCCATGCTCTCCCACTTGAAGTTTTGGCCCCGACTACCTCCCTTCCACCGCAATTCTGAGCTTCGGATTGAGTCCTTACCGCAGGGAGGGATGCAGGCCTGGACTGCGGAGAGAGAGGAAGCGTTACTACCCTGGAAGTCTCAGGAGGGACCCTCTCTCAAGCTCCCCAAAGGATGTTCCTGGGCCGGACGCATTCCTCCAGGGGGGCCGCAGTAAAGCTTGCGCACTGCGCCTGGGGGGCGGGCAGGCCTGTAGCATCCCGCTAAGAGGTCAGTCACAGGCCTGACGGTGGGAGGAGACACACAGGTCTGCAGCATGCCCTGAGGAGGGAGGGCCCAGTCCAGGCGTAATCTACCGAGGAGGAGGCCCGGTTGGAGAAGAGCTGTGGCCAGGATAGAAGTAGTCCCGTAAGGGAACCCAGCTGGAGGGGAAGCATTTCACAGACTGCCCAGGGCCAGACACGGAGAGCCAGAAAGATGCCTGGTCTGGTCTGGGTCCAGAACATCCCAATAAGGGCCCTAGCGCGAGAGGAAACCTTCCATGGAAGGAGCGGGGCCAGATCCAGAGTGGTCCAGGCAGGGAAGAGTCACCCACCGAGGGCTGCACCTCGCAGACTGGGCCAGGAGATTGGACTGAAGGGAGCAGATGGGGATCTAGGAGTGAGGGTTTCCTAACTGTGCGTGTATCTGGGGGCAGGCATGGGGAAGAGCCACGGAGTCTATTTTACCTTCCTTAAGCTGTGTAATGACCTTCCTTATTTTCTCAGCGGCATCAGGGAAGGCAACCTCAAAGGACCCTGGAGGGTGGAGGGGCAGCTTTGTAGCAGAGGCCCTTCCCCTAGGCCTGGCCTAGCTCCACAGGACGCACTGTCACGGTGTCTGTGCCCCTTCCCCAGCCCCTCTCCACACCTGTCTCTCCTATTACCACCTCCTCTGTTCTCTTCATCTCCTCCCACTCTGTCTACTGTGAAGACTGAGAAGTCCCCAAGTCTCTTCTGCCTCCTGAGTCTCTCCAGGATGGAAACCCTCTTCTACATCATCTGCGTTTATCTTGTTGGGGGAAGAAGGTAGGACAAAGATGAAATTCCTCACTAAGGCCTGTTAGGTCCTATATGATTAGGTCTACTTCTCCTCCCTCTCTGTTCCATCCCTACTGTCCACCTTTCATTTCCCTTAATATGAAAAGAACCACATTCCCTAGCACCTCAGGGCCTTTGCACATGCTGACTTCTGTTTCTAGCACTTCTTTCTCCCTATTCCTAATCATCCTCATGTCTTACACCTCAAGTGTCACCTCCTTAATGGCTTTCCATCACCACAACTATAACCTAATCACAGTGTCCCATTCATATCATTCATAGCTCTCACCATATTGTAATTACATATATTTATATATATGGTGACCATATACTTCTGTCTCTTAAGTAAAAATAAACATGTCCCTTCTTTAGTGTTGTGTCCTTAGAATCCAGAAGAGGGACCCAAGTCTTAGAAAGTGCTGAATAAATATGTGTAGAATGAATTCCAAGATTCAACTGGAACTGGAGACCACAATGGTGGCCTGTGGCCTAAATCCATCCTCTGGAGGTGTTAAATTTGGCCTGGAAAATGTTTTTTTGTTTTGTTTTGTTTTGTTTTTTTTAAAGACCCAGTTGCCAACTTACAAAATCTGAGACAGTCACATACAATGTTTGGCATCTCTTTAAAAAAAAACAACTGGAAGGGCTGTAGCACAGAGATTGAATTTCCGTCAGGCAGCAATTAGCTGGAGCTTAGTAGCAGCCGCTCCCGGCACACAGGGCATCCATGGCCGCTGCTCCACAGTCCCGGCCTCCGCTCGCTTCTACTCCTCTCTCACTCTTTGATGTTCTCCATCTTTGTGAGTGTTTGGATTGTGACCATTGTCGTGGCCTCCAAACTGTAAGGTTGTGTGGCCTTTTCCAGTGAAAAAAGAGAAAGTGGGTGGCCGGGTTGATGTCGTGGTGGTTTTGGGAATCAGACATGTGGCAGGGTGTTATGGGCTAAATTGTGTCCCACCCTCCCAAATTCATGCGTTGAAGACCTAACGTCCCATACCTTAGAAAGTTACTTAGAATGTGCTTGGAGGGAGGGTTCTTAAAAAGGTGATTGAGTTAAAGTGAAGTCATTAGAGTGGACCCTAATCCAGTGTGACTGGTGTCCCTGTAAAAAAAGGAAATCAGGACCCAGACATACACAGGGAGAAGATGGCGCTTACAAGCCAAGGAGATGGGCCTGTAAAGAAACGAGCCTTGCTGATAACAAAACCTCGATCTTGAACTTCTGGCTTCCAGAACTGTGAAAAAATGAATTTCTGTTGTTTAAGCCACTATGGTACTTTGTTACAAAATAATCCCTGTGTTAGGGATTGTCAGTTGCCTCCAAATATTTATATTTTCTCTTCAGTAACAGAACATTGCATTTCATCTGGGAATGTGCCCCTCAGCTAAAAGACTTCATTTCTCAGCCTTCCTTGCAGTTAGTTGTGGTCATGTGACCCGTTATGGCCACTAAGATGGAAATGGAAGTGTCATATGTGAGTTACAGGAGGTAGCCTTCCTTAAAAGGGAGGTGGTGCCATCTTATTGATTCCTTCCCCCTTCTCCATCCTGCTGCCTGAAACTTGGTTGTGATGGCCGGAGCTCTAGCAGCCATACAGGTCCATTAGGACAAATGCTCTACCCTGGGGTGGTAGACCAGAAAGCTGGAAGGAGCTTGGGTCCCCAAGAAAACGGAGCCACCATACTAGCTTTAAGTGCCTACCTTAAGATGTATTTTATATGGGAGAAATAAAATTCTCATTTGCCTAAGCCACTGCAGGGAGTGGGGAAGGGTTCCTCTGTGATTTAAAGCCATATAAAAAGGGAGGGAACTGAGGATATTGGCAAGAGAGTGGCTGAAATGATCATCATTGGGCATATGCTTGGAAAGAAGAAGCACTAAAGCCAAGAAGTGGGTTCAAAATGAGGGGTCAAAGACTTAGAGGTCTCCTCTTGACCACAGAGTAGGAGTGTGGTCTCGAGATGGCAGGATGGTCAAGAGGATGTGGTCAGAGTAGGGTGTGCAAATGAGAGGCCAGGATGGTGGAGGCGTCATCCATGGAATATCTATGGGCCAAACCAAATGACTCACAGGGAGGATGAGTGTGAGACAGGCCTGTAAAGAAACCAGCCTTGCCGACAATGAAACCCTGATCTTGAACTCCTAGCCTCCAGAGTTGTGAAAAATTAAATTTCTGTTGTTTAAGCCACTATGGTACTTTGTTACAAGTGAGCCGTGGCATCGGGGTGGGTTTATATATCCAGCAATGTTCCGAACAGGCCAAGGGGTGTGGGCTGTATCAAGTAGACCACAGGGGGAGTGAGTGGATGTTGTAAAGCAGCGGTCCCTAACCTTCTGGCACCAGGGACTGGTTTCATGGCAGACAGTTTTTCCAAGGGGTGGGGGTGGTTTGGGGGTGATTCAAGCGCATTACATTTATTGTGCAGTCAGACCTCTCTGCTAATGATGATCTGTATTTGCAGCCGCTCCCCAGCGCTAGCATCACCACCTCAGCTCCACCTCGGGTCGTCAGGCATTAGATTCTGGGAAGAAGCGAGCAACCTAGATCCCTGGCACACGCAGTTCACAGTAGTGTTCACGCTCCTGTGAGAATCTAATGCCGCTGCTGATCTGACAGGGGGCGGGGCTTCTGTGATGGGGAGCGGCTGTAAATACAGATGAAGCTTCGCCCACCACTCACCTCCTGCTGTGCAGCCCGGTTCCTAACAGACCACCGACCAGTACCAGTCTGTGGCCCGGGGATTGGGGACCGCAGTTTAAAGTCTTCCCAAAAGAGCTGCGTAGCCTTAGGAGCTCTGACTCTGACTCTGGTTCCGATCGTCTGGGCTCGAGTCCTGGCCCTTCCATCTTGAGCACACCTGTCTCAAATCTGAGGTCTCAATCACAAGCCCTCCTCCCTATGTGACCCCTGGCCAAGTGACTTAACTTTCCCAGTCCTCAGTTTCTTCATTCATAAAACAGGGATGATAGCTGAGTCTGCCTCATGGGGAGGGTGGGAGGATGAATGTCGTACACCATAAGAACAGCCTCATCCCAAACTATTTCATGGCACCATTTAATGACTGCATGATACTGTCTGTAAGGACTTAGCATGGTGCCTGGCACATGATGGGCTACAATCTCCAAACTTGAGATGGGGAAACCGAGGCACGGAGAGATTAGGGAAGTGGTCCAAGGTCACATTGCTCCATTTGAACCCAGAGCCTCCACACCTAATCGTTGCACGCAGTGTACCACCCTCCTCTCTATACCACACCCTCCGCTCCATGGTTTATGTACACACACAGATCACCTGCAACCACCAAGAGGCAGCCCTAAGTCAGCTCCAACGTCTCTCCAGGCTTCCGTCTGGGGAAGATTCGAAAGTCGTCCTCAGTTCTTCCCATCCCCCCCACCCACATACATCTGGTCCAGTCTGTCTCCGAATATCTCCTGAGTCTGTCTGTCTTGTCCAGATGAGCCCCACCTTCCCCACCTGGAAAGTGGAGTTATAACACTCTGCCTCGCAGGGCTGGAACGAGGATATCTTTTAGGAGGATGAGTAACAGGAAGAACTGCCTGGCAGACGCAGCCTCTTGCAAGCACAGGGCAGGTGTGGCACGCAGTCAAATTGTCACGTCCTGCACTCCTCAGCTCAGACCTCACCTCGCTCACATGGACCATTGTGATGGGTCCGAGCCACCACCGACCGGCTTCTCGCTGGTCTCCCTGCCTCTGCCCTGGCCCCACATAGCTGCCAGAGGGATCTTGGTAAATCCTAAGTCAGATCCTGTCTCTGTGTAAAATCCTCCAATAGCTTCCCCATTTCAAGAGCAAAAGACAAAAGTCATTCCAAGGGCTCACAACAGCGGTTCTCAAAGTGTGTTCCTGGACCAGCATCATCAGCGTGGCCTGGGAACTTGATAGAAATGTCAATTTTCTGGCCCTACCTCAGACCTATTGGTGAGATATGGAGGGCAGGGCCCAGTAATCTGCATTTTAACAGGCTCCCAGGGGACTCTGAAGTACACTGGGGCTTGAGAACCACTGGTCTACAAGGAGCTATAGGACGTGGCCCCCTTGCTACCTCTCTGATTCCATCTCTACTCCAGCCCCACTGGCCTCAGGGCCTTTGCATTGCTCTTCCCTTGGCCTGAAACTCTCTTTCTTCAGACTATCTGCATGGCTCTCACTGTCACTTTGATCAAGTCTTTGCTCAACTGGACTGTCTCATTTCTACCTCCTCTGACCGACCTGTTTAAAATTAGTCCTTTCCCCTTCTCTGTTTTCCTCCACAGCACAGATCGCCAACTGACAGACTGAAGTATTTTAGTGGTTACGGGTATTGTCTGTCTCCCCCACACCCCCAATATAAGCAACCGGAGGGCAGGCGGTTTGCAGCTTTGGTCAAAGCTGTGTTCCCAGTGTTGTTCCCGGCACATTCAATAAATATCCGTTGAGCATATCGTGCCAGCTTCTCCCGGCCTCCAGACTCGCCCTCTGGTCTGTTCTGCACACAGCCCCAGAGGGCTCCTTCCACACCCAGAGCTGATTCTGCCCCCCACTGCTCACAGCCCTCCTATGGCTCCCCAGTGCCCTCAGGACGGCGTCTTGAGTCTCCCTGACTTTTCAGCCGAACCCTGCAACCAGTATCCAGCTGCCTCCCGGATGTCCCCAGGACCCCTCGAAGTCACTATGTCCTAACCTAGCTCATAATGGGCCCCCACTCTGGCTCTTTCTCCCAGCCTCCTCGTCTCAGGGATGACCCATGACCCAACAGGCATGGAGCTGGGCCTCGCGCACTGTCCGCTAACCCTCCCTCCGCCCCTCGCCGAACAGGGTAGTAGACCCCAGCTCGTTCCTCCAGCCCACGACTCTCAGCCTGCCCCTTCTGCCCCACCTTCGCAACCCCGTCCCCCACTCAGGCCTCCGCCCCTCTGGCCTGGACCCTCACCGCAGCCCCTTCTCTCTCCCCTCCAAGTCCCTCCCCCACGCGGCCCCAGAGAGGTCACCCACTGCCAGATCTGGACTTCTTCCTGGCCTTTTCAAAACCTCCTGTGACGAGACAGCCTACGTGGGAGAAGGGCATTCCCTGAAATCCTGCACCCGCCCTGCCCAGCTCCCAAGCTCCTCAGGAAGCCTGTGGGGGACCCACAGCCGAAGCCGTCTCCATGCTGGCCCTGGGACACCCCCTAGATGGATGGGAACATCCCCCTCCTCAGTGACCTTTGATCAAAAGCTTGGCGGGGCCAGTTTATGCCAAAAAATAGGGCTCTGTGGCCTCCCCCCCAGCCTTTGGACCCTCCGCAATTCCAGCCTCTGGCGTGTTGGGGGGTCGCGGCCTTGGTGACCTGGTGTGACTACTGCTAACGCCGCCCACTGGCCACGCGTGTCCTCCCAGCCTGAGGTCCCTCTGCACAGCCACACGTGTGTCTCACCCACCCCAAGGCTGTCACTTGTGCCTGTGCCCCCAGGACAGCCACACCCCTGTCTTTCTTCACAGCTGTCACCTGAATGATCTACCCCACCGTCCCCAAGTGTTTGCTGCCCCCTCGTAGCCTCATACCTCAAAAAAGGGGAACCACTTTAACTGTAAGAAATAGACGTGTGTGTGTCCCATCTTCGAGGAAGATGTCCTCGGAGGGCTGCTGACAAGGGTCGCCCTCCTCGCCACAAGTGACCCAGCTCACTGGGCTTCCTAGCGCCACCCTCCCAGGCCTCGCATGCCAGGGGCCCCAGCCCAACCGCTCACCCTGGGCGGCGGCCATCTCCTGCAGGGCGTGGGTCATCTGGGTGAAGGCGTCATGCAGGTGGCTTCTCTCATCGTAGTCTGGGGTGGGACGGGGTGAGGCTGCGGGAGTCAGCTCCTCCACACCAAGTCCCTTCCTTCCCTCTCTGAGTCTCTGCCCCCAAGCTCCACCCTCCTCTCTCCCAGTCTCTGCCCCTCTCTTTGTCTCCTGTCTCTCTGTCTCTCCCTGCCGCCTTGGGTCTCTGGGCTCAGTGTCTTCGAGCCTTTCTCCTCTGCCTCTGTGCTCCTCTCTGCGTCCTCACTGAGGTCTCCTGGCCTCTCCTGTTCCTCCCTCAACACCCTCCCAGGACCCTAGGGGAGTTCGGAAGGTCTCCTCACTGATTTCGATGTCTGAGAGGCCCTGGAAGGCGGCCGTAAAGACCTCCTGGCACTTCTGGAGCTCAGGGCTGTCCACCCCGGTGAACATCTGGCAGATGCGGAGGCGCTCCGCGAAGGTGGTGAAGCAGAGGAGACAGGCCCAAGTGGGCGCCCTGAGGACCGCAAGGGCCAGCAGGGCACATGGGACTGCTCTGGCCAGGGCCAGCGGGGCCATCGCAGAGAATCTCAAGGCCCAGAGTGGAGCTGGCGACCTTTGTGAGGTCACCTGGGGAGGGGCGGGGCCAGGGGCCTGGGCTCAGAGGTTGAGTTTCCCGTTGGTGGTCAGCTGTCAGGCTCTGAGGAAGGGTGCGAGGGCTCAGGGGTCGGGGGCAGGACGGCAATCCCCAGGTCTGTGGATGGGCCAGACGCCAGGCTCCCAAGAACCTCACCTGTGACCCTGGACGTCCTCACAGGTTAAAGGGTCTCAGGGACCCAGAGGCCGGCAATATGGCACATGGTGGCCCCAACAGGCCCCGCTGTGGGCTTTGGGGTGGGGCTCAGAGATGGAGATGGGCACAGAGACACTCTAAGTGCCAGAGGACAGAAAAGACCGAAGAGACAGAAACAGAGACAAGGAGAGATATGGGGAGGGTCAGAGACCCAGAAAGTCACAGTAAGAGAGACGGAGACAGGGTCCCAGAGACCAGTGTGCAGAGAGATGCAGAAGCCACAGAGAGACACAACAGAGACGGAGCAACACAGAAAGCAAAAGAGATTTCTCGATGGAAGAGAAACTCTTCAAGGAAAGCAGGGAGGGAATGCTGGACAGAAAAGGCAGCTCAGCTCCTCCGCCCAGGGTCCCTGGGGCAGCCATGGGGGCTGGGGGTCCCGCCGGCCCGTCCCGTGCAGGGCGCAGCCTGGGGAAAGCTAGGAGGCCGTATAGTGATCTCCTTGGGTGTCCTCCTCAACTATACAACCTCCTACCTCAGCCCGGGGGGCGCGGCCGGTGGACAGAGCAGACAGATAGACAGACAGGGCCAGGAGGGCCGGGAGGGCGGGGAGGGCCGGGGAGGCCCCAGCCGCGATGATGAGCCCCCGACACGGACCCACAGACACGAGCTTGTGTGCGGCGAAGGCCCCGCAAGGTCGGTTCTACGGGTGGGTGCCAGGACCCAGGAGTCCGGGCCCCCGGCCCCCTCCTCCCTAAGGAGCCCAGGAGTCCAGGCCCCCAGCCCCTCCTCCCTCAGACCCACGGGTCCAGGACCCCAGGCCCTTCTCCCTCGGACCTGGGAGTCCAGCCAAGCAGGCCTCTCCCTTCCCTCCTTTCCAGCTTTCCAGACCCTCGGGCACAGCCTGAGCGGAGACCTGACTTCCTGGGTACAGGCCAGAGGGAACCTCAGCTGTCTTGGAATTCCAGCCCGCTACCTACCTACCTTCCTGTCAGGCTGCAGAGACTCCGGGCCCGGGGCCGGAAGGAGACAGGGGCATGAAACGTTCAAAGCCTTTCTGGGTATTTTTCTCCTCTCTCCTCCCTTCTTTTGGCCTCTTGTCGTCTACAACGATGACAGCTATACCCTCCGGGCACTGACACTGCACCAGTCTCCTCTCTGACACCTCCCAGCACACAGAGCGAGGTACTCTCTGCATCCCCATTTTGCAGGTGAGACAGGTGAGGCAGGAGGGGAGGAGACTAGCAAAGCCGGCCTGCAAGTGGGAGGGACCGAGGGCCGCCACCCGCCCTCCCCGCCCTGGGGCTCTCCCTCGTCCACTTCCCTCTCTGGCTCCCACTGTCCCGGCTCCATCCACCCTCCCTGCTTCCTCACGCTGTCCTGCGGCTGACTCTGCCCTCCCTCTTTCCTCGGTTTCCGTCTTACCTGTCTCCCTCCCAGCCTCCTCCATCCTGCATCCGTGTCTCTCCCGCCGGCACCGGGCTGTCTTCCCCATCCGCCTCTCTCCTCCCCCGCGCCCCGTTTTCCTCCGTCCCTCCCTCCTTTCTCATTCTTTCTCGGCCGCCTGCCTTCCGTGCTCCCCTTCTCCTCCTCTCCCCTCTTTGTCTCTCATTCTCTCCGACCCCCTCCCGGTCTCTCTCTCCCTCTTCTCTTTCACCCTCTTCCTCTCCCTTTTTTTGGACGTCTCGCCTCACTTCCTCTGCCTCCTCCCCTCCCCTTCTCTCTGTCTCCCCGGCTGCGGCTCCTTCTCCTCCTCTGCCTCTGTCTCTCTCCCTTTCTCTCCTCCTTCTCCTTCCCTCCCTCTCAAGTCTCTCTTCCTCCCCTCCCCCTTCTCTCTCTCCCTCTCTCTCTCCCTCCTTCCTTCTCTCCCTCCCCCCGCAGCTCGGGCCAGGTCTGGAGCTGGGGGTGGGGTGCGGGTGGTTGGAGAAGGGGCCCAGGGCTGGGGTAGCGACCTGCTGAGGAGGGGGAGGAGAGGCGGGAAGGGGCGGAGAAGGGAAGGGGGAGGCAGGGCCCCGAGACGGGTCTGCGGTCCCAGCTCTCTTCCCCCTTGCCTCCTTTCCAACCTCCCAGACCCTCAGGCGGGGGCGAGAGTCAGGCCAAGGTGGGGAGGAAGGGGAAGGGAGGAGGCTGCCCCCCCCAGCCTGGCCCGGAGCCCAGGCCCGGGTTCCCAGCATGCCCTGGGGCTGCCTGGGGCCTTAGGAGGGGGGTGAGGGGAGAGGGGAAGCTGAGAATCTTAAGATTCCCGGGACCTGAGCATCTCCCCAACCCCCAACCAGTTTCTGCTAGGGGAAACTGAGGCGGAGAGAGAAGGGTCAGGAATTGTTCAAGGTCACTGGACAAGGCGTTGGTCGAAACGCGATCTCCCTGGGCTGGCTTCGGGGATGGGGTAGGCGCTGGACTTCCCCCAGGCCTAGGTCCCCCTCCCCCTCTCTGCGGACCCTGGGGAGCCCCCAAGGGTCAGAGAGCAGACCCAAACAGTCTGGCACCATGGCAACCAGCTGGCCCCGCCCCCTTAACCCCTGGAGGGCTGGACTCCAGCTGGGGCTAAAGAGGAGGTGGGGACTCCTGGGTTCTAGGGGAGGAGGGGCCTGGGGGTCCCCAGAACTCCAGGCTTTGAAGGGAGGTGGGAGCCTGAGCTCTTGGTTCTAGCGGGGGAGGGGGATGGTGCTCGCGCTCCTGGGGAGGCGGGGCTGGGGTTTTGAACTCTGAGGTTTCGAAAGGGGTGGGGGCTCGAATGTGGACTCCCTGGTCTGAGAGAAGAAGAGGCTGGGGGCCCAGACTCCTGGATCCTGGGGAAAAGGGGGCCAGGGCTTCGGATTTGGGAATTCGGGGTGCGGTGGACTCCCAGGTCAGAGGGAGGAGGGGGCTGGGGCCTGGAATCCCTGTCGCCTAGGGAGCCTGGATCCCGGGCCTCTTCTCCGCCAGACATCCCCTGCCCCCGCCGCTGACCCTGGCCTGTCTGGCAGCCCAGACAACCTCCCCCCTCCTGCTCAGCCCCCTCCCACTGGCACGGCTCACCCTTGACCCCTCGAAGCCCCGCAGCCCCATCCCTGCCCCTCCCCCTCCCCTCCAGCCAGACATTAACCCTTCCCGTGCCCGAGGCACCTCCAAAGCCAGACCGTCTTCCTCCACCTCCCCTGAGAGCCCGAGCATCTCGCCCCAGCCTCCTCCAGCCTCCGGTCCTACCTGCCCCAGCCCCCGCCTCTGTCCTCCCTCTAGAATCCAGGTGTTCCCAGCCTTCTCCAGCCAATGGACCTCCGGATCCTGGTCCCCAGCCCCCTCCTTCAAGGATTCAGGAGCCTGGGCTCCCAGCCCCCTCTTCCTCCTCCAAGAACCCAGAAATCCGGGCCCGGCCTCCTCCCCGCTGGGGGACCACGGAGTCCCGGCCCCAGGCCCCCTCCCCCTCCCTTTCCGCAGACTCACGGCTCCCCGGCTCCCGCGACGGAGGGAAGGGGTCTCCTCGGCCGGCCCCCGGCCCGCGGCCGAGCCCCGCCGCCGCCGAGCCCTCTCCATCCTCTCCCCGCCTCCGCCGCCCGGCGGCCTCTCCCCTTCCTCCCGCCGGCCCCGCCATCCTCCTTCCCTTCTCCCCGGCTCCCTGCGGCCGGCGCCGCCTCCCCGGCTCTGAGGTCCCCGCTCCCCCGCCCTGGACCCCGCGGGCGGGCGGCCGGCGGACCAGCCCCCTCCCCAGGGGGCCCCCGCCCCGGCCCCTCCCCACCGCTCAGCCCAGCCCGGCCTGGCTTCCCCCCTGCCCGGGAGCTGGCCCCGGTCCAGGGGAAAAAATTCCATCCAGCCCCGGGGAGGAGCAGCGGGGCGGCGGGGAGGGAGCGGGGAGGGGAGGCCGGGCCAGGGGAGCATGACGCAGAGCGGAGGGAAGGGACAAAAGGGAGGCCAGGGAGGCGGCCGGGGCGGCCGGCGCTCCCGCTTCTCCCTCCCTCCTCCCGCGGCCGGGCCCGCTTCTCGCTGCGGCTCTGCTCGTCCCTCCGCCTCTCCGCCCTTTCCCTCGCTCGGCCTTCCTCCCTCTCCCTCCTCCCTGCGGCTCGGTGCGTGCTCGCCTTCTCCCTCCACCGCCCCCCGCCCCGCTGCCTTTTTCTCTCCGCCGGCGTCGTTCTCGGGTGGTTTTGCTCCTTCTCTCTTTCTGTCCTCCCCTCCGTCTCTGTATCTGTCCTGCTTTTCTTTCTCTTTCCTGCCTTTGCGTCTCCAGCCTCCTTGCTGTGCGTGCGTCTTCTGCCTCTCATTCGATCCTTTCCCTTTTCTCTTTCTGTTTGTTTTTCCTCCCTCCCTCCCTGTCTCGGTGACTCCATCCTTCCTCCCTCTGGCTTTCTCCTCCCCTCTCTCCTCTTTCTCCTTACACCCCCCGTCCGGGTCTGCCCTTCTCTCTCTCTCCCTTTCTGTCCTCCCAGCCTCTCTCCTCTCCCTCCGCTTTGGTCTCTCCACCCCCCTCCCCACCCACTGGGGACTCAAAGGTGAATGAGACCCATGTCTGCCCTTGCAGATGGAGCTCACGGTCTGATGGGACAGACAGACCCAGCTGCGGACAGTCCCGGTCGAGGGGGACTGGGGTATGACAGAGGGAGAGGCCAGAGGCTGGGAGAGCCCAGGGTGAAGGAATCCTTGCAGCAGGAGACATCAGAGAGGACCCCCAGAGGAGCCGTAGTTCTGGCATGACCTCCAAGAACGGGGGAAGTTAGATCTGAATTGTTGAGAGAAGGCGACAGTAAGGGCGTTCCAGGCAGAGGGCACAGCTGGAGCAAAGGCCCAAAGGCAGGGAGCCAAGGCCATGCTGGGAGG